TTTATTTGAAAATTAGGAAAAAGATATCTTGAAAGACAGAGAGGGAGACTGCACAGTGTAGAGAGATATATATATCCTATTTCCTGGTTCACTCCCCGAATGCCTGCAATAGTTGAGACTGGGCTAGGCTGAAGCTAGGAGCTGGGACTTCACAATGAGTCTCCTATGTGGGTGGCAGGGACTTAACCATTGGAGTTATCACCTGCTGCCTCCCATAGTGTGCATTAACAGGAATGCTGGAATTGGGAGTAGAATTGGGATTTGAGCTCAAGCACTGATATGGGGAGTAGGCGTTCTAAGCAGTGCCTTAACTGCTGTGCCAAGTGTCTACCCTTTTTCCTTTCTGTTTCCTTATTGGAACTAATCCCAGAGTTTCTGCTATTAGCTTTGTATCATGTTCTCAATGTTTTTTTTTTTTTTTTTTTTTTTTTTTAAGATTTATTTATTTATTTGAAAGTCAGAGTTACACAGAGAGAGGAGAGGAGAGGAGAGGCTGCAACGGCTGGAGCTGCGCTGATCCGAAGCCAGGAGGTTCTTATGGGTCTCCCATGTGGGTGCAAGGCCCCAAGGACTTGGGCCATCTTGTACTGCTTTCCCAGGCCATAGCAGAGAGCTGGATTGGAAGTGGAGCAGCCGGGTCTCGAACCCACCCCATGTTGAATGCCAGCACTTCAGGCCAGGGTGTTAACCCGCTGTGCCACAGCACTGGCCCCAGTTCTCAGTGTTAGAATTAAGGGTTTAGGCTGGCGCCGCGGCTCAATAGGCTAATCCTCCTGCGGCGCTGGCACACTGGGTTCTAGTCCCGGTCAGGGTGCCGGATTCTGTCCCGGTTGCCCCTCTTCCAGGCCAGCCCTCTGCTGTGGTCCGGGAGTGCAGTGGAGGATGGCCCAAGTCCTTGGGCCCTACACCCACAAGGGAGACCAGGAGAAGCACCTGGCTCCTGGCTTCGGATCAGCATGGTGCGCCGGCCACGGCAGCCATTGGAGGGTGAACCAAAAAGGAAGACCTAAGGGTTTGGTCTTTGCTTTTGGAATAATTTACTCTACCTCCTGGGGAGGTGTGCAGTTTTCCTTTTCTACTTCCATGCTTTTGAAACTTTATCTGCTTTTGAGAGTCCTTCTACATATTTGAAGACTTTAGTTGTATCTCCATTTTACCAGAAAACGAGTTTGCATTTTTGTTTTTGTTCTCCTTGTTACTTAGAATGATTTCTAAAAAGAGGGGGAAATGAAAATTATGCCACTGTTCTCAAACTGGAAGTTAATAATACTATCTATGATATCTTTTTAAAGCATGTTGCTATATTTTCATAAATTATATTTGATTATTAGAATGGGAGAGATAACTTGAACATAGATTGTTGGTATACTTTAATTTTTCCCGAGTTTTATTTTAAAAATACAAAAAGAATTTCATTTAAGTTAGCCCCAAAGAATAATAAATTCTATTTGTTCTTTGTTTTGTTTGATATATTATTTTCCCCAGGGATTATTCTGATAAAAACAAAAAGATGAGTTTATTGGCCACAATATTTAATTAGTTTTGTTTTGAAAGAAGTATATTTCAATTATTATAGCTTTTACACATTGAAAATTATATATGCTTTTTAAAAGTATACAGTCATTTAAGAAAACATACTGAATTCCCATAGAATTCTATTTCACTACCTGTGATTTCTTTGTCTCATTTTCTTTCTCTGTAATCTTTTACTAAATCTATATGAGCTTGTTACTATTTCAGTGGAGAAATAGTATAGTAGTCCCCCCTTATTCTTGGTAAGTACCTCTAGTGAGTGCCCAAAACCTTGAATGCTAGTAAAATCTGTATATAGATAGGTAGATATATGTTTGTCTTTTCCTGCATTGCTACCATGTAGTACTAGAGTTAATTCGTCTTTTCCATGTTTTATTCTTTGGTACTTCCTTTGCACTTTGGGGCAATTATGAAATAAACTAAGGATTATTTGACATAAGTACTGTGTGATACTATAGTAGTCAGTTTATTTACAAAGATGGCTACTAAATAGCTAATGGGCAGGTAGCATATACAGTGTGGATATTTGGATATAGGAGTTGTTTACATACTGGGTGTGAAGGTGTAGGATGGTGTAAGATATCATCACATAGGATGGTTTAAAACTTATGTCTTGGGGCTGGTGTTGTGGTGTAGTGGGTTAAGCCACAGCTTTGATGCCGACATTGATATGGACATTGGTTCGAGTCCTGGCTGCTCTACTTCTGATCTAGCTCCCTGCTAACCTGGAAAAAGTAGCAAAAGATGGTTCAGGTGTTTGGGTCCCTGCCACCTAGGTGGGAGACCTGGATGAAGCTTTTGTCTTCACGCTTTGGCCTGGCCCAGCCCTGGCTATTGCAGCCATTTCTGGAGTGAACCACTGGATGAAGATCTGTCTCTGTCTCTGTCTCTCTCTCTCTGTTTCTCTCTCACTGTAACTCTGCCTTTCATATAAATAAATAAATCTTAAAAAATGAAAACTTGTAACTTATTTATTTCTGCAGTTTTTCATTTAATATTTTAATTTTTATTTATTTTTAAGATTATTTATTTATTTGAAAGGCAGAGTTACAGTGAGAGAGGAACAGAGAGAGAGAGAGAGAAAGGTCTTCCATCCGCTGGTTCACTCCCTAGATGGCCGCGACAGCCAGAGCTGTGCTGATCCAGAGCCAGGAACCAGGAACTTCTGGGTCACCCATGCCCTTGCAGGGGCCCAAGCACTTGGGCCATCTTCACTGCTTTCCCATGCCACGGCAGAGAGCTGGATTGAAAGTGGAGCAGCCGAACTCGAACTGGCGCCTATATGGGATGCTGACACTGTAGGCGGCAGCTTTACCTGCTGCGCCACAGAGATGGCCCTTCATTTGATATTGTTAGACCACAACTGACTATAGAAAGTAAAACCATGGATTAGGGGCAGCTATTGTATGGGACTTTGTTGTTTTAGGATTCTTGAGCGTTAAGAGCATTATGCCTAACCTTTTCTTTCATCTCCATTCTGTTGCTAAGGACAATGCTCAGTGTGTCTTTTTTGCTGTTTGTGTACTTTTCCAAGTACCGTGTAGGAATCTGGTGCTAGTTATTTGGTGGTTTTATATAATAAAAATTATCACAATATAAAAACATTATCTATTGCTGTTTAACAAACTGCCTCAAAACTTAGTAGCTTAAAATAACAAATGTTTGTTATGTCTCTCAGTCCCTGAGGAACAGCTTAGTTGGGTGGCTCTGGCTCAGTGCCTTTTGTTATATACATAGCAGGTAAGCTATAGGCTATGGTGCAGTCAGGTCAGGACTCAACTAAGTCAGCATGATCACTGCAGATAAATCACTGCAGAAGCTTTACTCCCTCTGCTGTGGTCTAATCTCCAGCTCACCATTACATATTGCATTTCTTTTTTTTAATTATTTTTTCTTTTTAATTTATTTTTTATTACTACTGCATTTCTTTCTGCCATTACCAACATTGACCTTTGCAATCCCTGTGATTGTTTTGTGTTACTTTTGCTGTTTCCTAGAGGTCTTTTTCTTATAGCCTGTCTTGCAAGTTTTTTAGTTCATTTTTTTAATATGGTCCAACGTGTCATAAATTGTGCCGATGCCAGTTGTCTTGACGCTACCAAAATAACTTGAATCAAAATACAAAGATGACATCTGTTGTGGATTTTGCATATTTTGGTGTATATCCTCCAAATCTACTACTAAGCTTAGGCATGTAGTTGTTAGTAGTCTATAGGTCTAGTAATCACACACCTCTGTTTTTTGTCACATAGGCTTTTCCATAGACTTCCTAGGCTGTTCTCATGTCATGATCCAGCAGAGAAAGGTAGCAAGTGAAGAGAGACCCAAAATGGATCCTGTGGCCTTTAGTAACTTAGTTTTTTTTTTTTTAATATTTTTAAAAATTTATTTAAGAAGTAGAGTTACAGACAGTGAGGGGAAGAGACAGAGAGAAAGGTCTTCCTTCCATTGGTTTACTTCCCGAATGTCCGCAATGGCTGGAACTGCGCCGATCCGAAGCCAGGAGCCAGGTGCTTTTGCTTCTTCCTGGTCTCCTATGTGGGTGCAGGGGCCCAAGCACTTGAATCATGTTCCACTGCCCTCCTGGGCCACAGCAGAGAGCTGGATTGGAAGAGGAGCAGCCGAGAATAGAACCGGCATCCATATGGGGTGCCGGCACCGCAGGCAGAGGATTATCTTACCGCGCCACAGTCCCAGCCCTGTAACTTAGTCTTTAAGTGACATATTGCCACTTTTGCCACATGGTATTGGTCATACAGTCCAATACTGGGGGGGGGAGGATTACATAAAGCTGTGAATATCGAGGAGACAGGGATCACTGCTGACTCCCCAGAAGCAGTACTGTATTTCAAAATGAACTAATTTTTCTACATATGAAATGAGTTTTTATTGGGATACAGTGTATTGATTATTTAAAAAATAATTAAAATATTATTTTTGTATACTTATTTCTGCTATAGTCTGTAAAGAAAAATATATTTTGCTATATTTACATTGAACCTAAGAGGTGACTTTAACAAATTTGTGATTAGTACCATTCTTTGAATTTAATTCTTTTAATATCCTTTGATTCCTTTCTAATGCTAATGCCTAAAGAAATATCCGCTTGAGATCTGGGATACTATAGTATTGTTCCTAATCTTTTAGGGGGTTCAGAGACCACTTTGGAATTGATGAGAGCAATAGCCTCTCTAGAGAAATTCACTTATGAGCACAAAGGTGATTTTACTGTTCAGGGAACTCTCAGAAAGGTCCATGAACTTAGGTTGAGGACCTAGAAGCACCTGAGGACTTTAAAACACAGGTAGACTTCTGATATTCTGACTGAAAGAAGTGCTTGTTGATTTTCCATATGTAAAGGGAAACTTACATAACTCTACTTGGAAATATTTGTTTCTTTTTATATGGCTTCTAATTCTCTTATCCTGATCATGGTTTTTGTTTCTGAATTTTGATTCCCCTTTTAGCATCTGGAGCATAAGAACAGTCCTTATTTTCTTCTTTTCCAAGAGAACAGAGAGAAATAGTAAGTTATAAATTTTTTAAAAATCTGTTTTATAGTTTGTCAGTTTGTAATGGCGTTTGTGAAATTACATATTCAAGGGATGACATTGTGAATATTGAAAAGTTGTTTACTGTAAAGCATAAGAAAGATTGTAAGTGATCAAGATGGTTCTATTTTTATTTGATGTTATTTTTGTCTTGCTCTTTTAGAATTTTATTTACACAAAATATTACTTTAAATTAAGAGAAATTATATTAATTAAATTGGTCTTTGTAGAAGCCATTGTTAACAAAATAACATTGCATATTTTTGATTTATGCTATTAATTACACCACTCTCCTTAACTCAGCAGCCCCTTGACTTTTGTATTAATTGAAATATGTAAATTATGGTGAAATCTCCTTCTGTAGTCTATATATAAGCCTTAAAGATTCTCAGATCTTAAAACTGTGTGTTATAATTAACCAGAGATTTACGAATTTCATTTCAAAGGAACCTTTGACTTGTTTTTTATCTTTCTTTATTTTAATTTTTCATTATGGAAAATTCTAAACATATACAAAAGTAGACTGATTCCTATAATAACCCTATAGATCTATCATCCAACCTAAACTGGTCACTGTTATTTCATTTTTACCTCCATCTAGTATTTTTACCTCCTTTATTATTTTGAATGTATTCCAGATATATGTGTTCCTAACAGATTTTTAAAAAGTATAAACAGAATACATTATCATACCTAGAATAGAATTATTAATATCATATCAAATATAAAACTATTAAATTTTCAGTTATCTCATATAAGTGTTATTTGCCTGAAAAGCATATTTTGTTTGTTTGACTCAGGATCCAAATAAGGTTGGTATAAATATATGCTATTTTTTTTTTAAAGATTTATTTGTTTATGTTAAAGAGAGAGTTACAGAGACAGAGGCAGAGAGAGAGGTCTTCTTCCGCTGGTTCACTCCCCAAATGGCTGCAAGGGCTGGAGCTGGGCCGATCCGAAGCTAGAAGCCTGGAGCTTCTTCCAGGTCTCCCATGTGGGTGCAGGGGCCCAAGGACTTGGGCCATCTTGTACTGCTTTCCCAGGCCATAGCAGAGAGCTGGATCGGAAGCAGAGCAGCTGGGACTTGAACTGGCACTCACATGGGATGCCGACACTGCAGGCAGCAGCTTTACCCACTATGCCACAGCACTGGCCCCTAAATATATGCTTTTAAACTGCTTCCTTGTTCATGACCCCACACTGCTTATAGGGTCCTGGTACAGTTCCTTGGTAAATTCACTTTTTAATCTCTGAGAGTAATATTTGATATTTCTCCTCAATTCACTAATATCTTTTTCTCCACCAAAAAAGTAAAAATCAAACCAAATGAAAACCAGGCAGCCAAGTAAGAATTCAAAAGCCACAAGCCAATAAACTAAAACTCTACAAAAGCTACCTATTCTCTCATAACTTAAAATGTCACTGTATACTGACTATAGATGTAAATAGATGAGGGCTGCTCTCACCACCAAGCATATCAAGTTAGCTGTTTTTATCCTTCATGATATTCTGAAAACTGGTCTTGAGCACATCTATGGCTAGTGGTAATTTATATTCCGTATTCTAAATACTATGACCATCTCAGTAGACTTGTTATTATCTCCTCCAGTTATACTTTCTTTTGCATCATTTGTTGCTTTTGGGTTATTTCTATTTACATATAACTCTGCCTCAATACAACCTTTTGGGGAGAGGGGAATCTTCTCTAACCCTGTATTACCTTTAAGTTACTCGCTATTTCTTTTCTCCTTCCAAGGAAAATTACTTACAAAGTTGTACATTGCTGGTATCTCCTTTCTCCCCTCCCCGACCTGTTATTTCTTTCTCTCTCTCTCTCTTTTTTTTTTTAGATTTACTTTATTTATTTGAAAGTTTCAGAAAGAGGTAGAACCAAAGAGAGAGGAATTCCATTTGCTGGAATTAATTATTAATTATTAATATCATGTGAAATATAAAACTATTAAAATATAAAACTCCCCAGATGGCCGCAATGCTGAGCTGATCTGAAGCCAGGAATCAGGAGCTTCTTCCGTGTCTCCCATACAGGTGCAGGGGTCTAAGGACTTGGGCCATCCTCTACTGCTTTCCCAGGCCATAGCAGAGAGCAGGATTGAAAGTGGAGCAGCCAGGACTCAAACTGGTGCCCACATGCGATACTGGCACTGCAGGCTAGGGTTTTAACCTGCTGTGCCATAGTGCCAGACACCCCACCCCCCCCAGCTCTCCACCCCCGTTCTTTCTCAACCTTACTTTGTTTAAGTTGTTTCCACTCTGTTTTTGTTTTCCCAGTGACTTATTTCAAGGTCACTAATGATGTACATCTTGTCAAAGCCACAAATCCAGTTCTCTTTTCTCAACCAACTTGACCTCTTAATAAGCATTTGAATTAATTCAACTATCCACTTTTTTCTTGAAGTATTATTATCTTTTTTTGTTTGTTTGTTTGTTTTTCAGAATTATTTATTTGCAAGTCAGAGTTACACAGAGAGAGAAGGAGAGGCAGAGACAGAGGTCTTGCATCCAGTGGTTCACTCCCCAATTGGCTGCAATGGCCAGAGCTGTGTTGATCCAAAGCCAGGAGCCAGGAGCTTCTTCCAGGTCTCCCACGTGGGTGCAGGGGCCCTTGGGCCATCCTTTACTGCTTTCCAGGCCACTGCAGAGAGCTGGATCTGAAGTGGAGCAGCGGGGTCTCTGCTGGCACCCATATGTGATGCTGACACTGCAGGTGGCGGTTTTACCTGCTTTGCCACAGTGCTGGCCCCAGCTTTATTATCTTTAAGCAACTTTGACAATACTTTGTCAGTCATTTCTTTTTTAGTTTTATTTTCCTACCTTCTCTACTAAAAATCTATCCTTTTCAAAAATTTCCTTAGCTCTGCTGTCCAATAGAACATTCTGTGATGGTAAAAATAATGTTAACTACTGTCTCATATGGTATCTGCTAGCTATTTGTATTTATTGAGCACTTGAAATATGGTTAGTGGATATGAAGGACTGGATTTTACATTTTATCTCTTTGTAATTTAAATTTATTAGCCCCATGTGGCTATTGGACAGTGCATCCCTAGGTAATTTCATCCATTCTCACAGATTAAAAATCTTGTATTTATTAATGACTGTCAAATCTAAGTCTGTAGCCCAGACGTTTCCCTTTAGTCACAGGCTTGTATACCTAACTGGGTAGTTGATATGTCTACTTGGGAGTCTAACAGACATCTCATACTTAACATGGCTAAAATAGAATTAGTAGTATTGCTTTTCCCCTTTATTCATACTGTTCTGTAGCTCTTCCCTGTGTCTTCCTTCCCCATCTCAATCAGTCAAGCAATATGTTTATGGATCTAAACATAAATGAAGTAAAATATAGAATAAATATAATAATAATATTATATATGTATATGGAATTGACTCCTGTAATTTTGGAGACTAAAAAGTCCCCAAGATCTGTTGTCAGCAAGCTGGAGATCTAAGAGAACTAATTGTTTAGTCCCAATCTGAGTTTGAAAACCAAGAGAGCCAATGGCATACTTTCTGGTCTGAAAGCTGTAGGTTAAAGAAACAGGAAGAGCTAAGGTTTCAGTTGAGTCCAAAGCCAGGAAGAGATGAATGTTCTAGCTCAAGGCAGTCAGGCATAGGAAATTCTCTCAGTACAGGGAGGATCAGCCTTTTCTATTCAGGCCTTCACCTGATTATATGAGGGTCACCTCATTCCCTGAGGCAAGTACTCAGTTTACCAATTCCAATCTTAATCACACCCCATATCACCCTCACAGACATCTAGAATTCTGTTTGTCCAAATACCTGGCTGTCCTGTAGTTCAGTCAAGTTAACACATAAAACTAAACATCTTAAAAGACTGGGAGGCATTCTTGATTCTTCTTTCATATCTGTTCACTTACCAGCAAGTCTTATCAGCTTTTTTTTTTTTTATAGGTCAGTCTTTCTTTCTCTCTCTCTCTCTCTCTTTCTTTCTTTGACAGGTAGAGTTATAGACAGAGACAGAGAGAAAGGCCTTCCTTCCGTTGGTTCACTCCCCAAATGTCCGCCATGCCCGGTGCTGTGCCAATCTGAAGCCAGGAGCCAGGTGCTTCCTCCTGGTCTCCCACAAGGGTGCAGGAGCCCAAGCACTTGGGCCATGCTCCACTGCCTTCCCCGGGCCACAGCAGAGAGCTGGACTGGAAGAGGGGCTACTGGGACCAGAACCTGGCGCCCATATGGGATGCCGGTGCCGCAGGAAGAGGATTAACCAAGTGAGCCATGGCGCTGGCCCCAAGTCTTATCATCTTTAGCTCTAAAATTATCTTGAATATGACCAATTCTGACCTTCCCTGCTATTGCAATTCTAACTTAAATCATTTTCAGCTCTTGCTTGTGCTGCTGTGGTGGATTACTAATGTGCTTTTAAGGTATAAATCAGATCTTGTGTCTTTTTTGTTTAAAATTCTCTAATTGCTTCCTATTGCAACTAGAATAAAAATCTGTAACCTTATCTTGTTTGATTTAAACCCATTTCTCTGACTTCATTTCTCCCACTGACCTTTTTTTCACTTTTGCTCCAGCTATTCTAACCATCTTTTTGTTCTACATACAAATTCTCTTAATTTATGAAATGGGAAAGAAATGTTTGCTTTGGCAAACATTAAAATTAATTATATTTGAAATCATATAAAATTGCTAGGTTTTATACAAATATGAGCTGATGGTACTGATTTTTTTAAATTTACTTATCTGAAAGTTAGAGTTGGGGAGGAGAGAGAGAGTGGAAAGAGAGGGAGTGGGAGAAAGAGAGGGAGAGGGAGAGAGATCTCTCCGTTTGCTGGTTCACACCACAGTTGTCTGCAATGGGCAGGGCTGGATCTGGCTCTTCCATGTTGGGTGGCAGGGACCCAAGAACTTGGACCATCCTCTGCTGCTTTCCCAGGTCATTAGTAGAGAGCTGGATCAGAAGTGGAGTTGTTAGGACGCAAACTGGCACCCATATCGGGTGCTGACATTGTAGGCAGTGGTTTAACCCACTATGCCACAACTCTGGCCCCTGTTTCTTCTTTTCTAATCTTTTTTATTTCACTTGTCTTAAATTTGTTGGGGCCTATTAGAATATTGGCTTGAAGTGGAAATAGTGGGTATCCTTGTTTAGTTCCTTCTTTCAGTGGAAATGCTTTTAATATTTTAACATTAAATTTGATATTTGCTGTGGTTTTTAAAAACAATGATACTTACCAGGTTAAAGAAATTAAGCTCATGGTATTATTTTCAGTGAACTGGTAATATAGTAGATAATAGGAGAAACAGGATAAAGTTTAAAACACTTGATCTTAGCCAAAAGGCTGAGAAGCAATGAAGTTTAAAACAAATATTCATTCTGACTTCAAAGAGTCACAAAATAGAGAAAGATATAAAAATACCATTTTGAAAGAATCCTCAGGAATACTTCTTTAAGGTAATTAAGTTTGTGAATATTTTAATTTATAAGCAGGTAAATCTGCATGTACCTGTTACATGCAAAGATTTTTTTTTTTTACTTTAAGATTATTTCAGGGTCTTTTTTTATTAAAATATTACTAATTCATTTGAATAAGGTATTTCACATAGATTTAAGATAGGCTTTATAAAAGATTGCCTTACAGTCTTACACATTTTTAAAGTTTAAAATTAGGTACATGATTTTTTTTTAAAGATTAATTTATTTGAAAGTCAGAGTTACACAGAGAGAGGAGAGGCAGAGAGAGAGAGAAGTCTTCATCCAATGGTTCACTCCCCAGTTGGCTGCAACAGCCAGAGCTGTGCTGATCCAAACCCAGGAGCTTCTTCTGGGTCTCCTGTGTGGGTGCCGGGACCCAAGGATTTGGGCCATCTTCTACTGCTTTCCCAGGCCATGGCAGAGAGCTGTATCAGAAGTGGAGCAGCTGGGTCTCAAACTGGCACCCATATGGGATGCCGGTGCTTCAGGCAGGGCATTAACCCACTGTGCCACAGCGCTGGCCCCTACATGATTTTTTTTTAATCTGGTTATTGGTCATGTCCTTTATTAATTGTAGTTCTTTAGTTTAAGAGGTGGACCCAGAGTAGATAAAAGTAGCAGTTGACAATTTACACCCTGTAGCCAAGTCTTGCCCACCACTTTATATAGCTTATGACGTAAGAATGGCAAAGGAATCATATTTTGTGTTATGTTAAGTAACGTGACATCCAAAGTTTAGTTTTTATTGGCAGATAACCAGTGTCCATTCATTTATGTATTGTCTGTAACTGTTTTCATTTTACAGTGGCAGAATTGAGTAATTGTGACAGACTATATGTGGTACTCTCATCACTTCAGATTGCTTTTATAGAACAGGTCACATCGCATCATTTCAGACTGTTGCATGACAACTTACAAAATGCAGTTATAACTCGACAGCATTTTAACTGCCACTTATTGTTATGCTGTGACAATTTTATTCGTTTTTTAAGCACTGCATAACTATCATATAAAACAAGAAGAGAGAAAAGTCAGTTTTGAATGTTGCATTTTTAGGGCACAATGGAGTATGACCAATTTTGTTATCAAAATGCAAAGCATTGGATTTATTATGTAGTGACATTCCAACTGTGCCAAAAGAATGCAATATATATTGATATTATCATATGATGTACTCATGATATTCCCAATTCACAGACAAGTAATGGTCATTAAAAATTAGAAAATTTAAAATGGAATATCTCATCATTGCAGAATTTCTTCAGAAAAATAAAAAATGAAAATGGGGCTTCAGTCAAAGTAAGTTTCTAAGTGGCTTATATGTTTGTGAAGCAGCGAAAGCCATTTACCAATGGTGAGTTACTTAAATTGTGTTTGATTACATCAGCAGAAGAAATATGTTCTGATAATGTTTAAGACTAGTAGTCTTTCAGCAAGAGACATTTGCTTGAAGAATTGAGAAAACTGGGAGCAAAAAAGTGGACAGTCAATTTTAAAAAGGGCGAATAAGTTCACATATTTTCCCTTAGCTCTTGATGAGTTGACAGATAGTACTGATAATGGCTTATTTGTGGTTTGTTTGAGGAGTCAGCTCCAAGCTTGAAGGGACTGAAGAATTAGCCTTTATAATTAGTTGTCTGTGTGGAATAATTTTAGGTGAGAATATTTTCATAGAAGTTAAGAAAGCACTAATTCAGTACAACCTGAAGTGGAATCTGCTAAGATGTGTTATATAACTATTGGTGGTAAAAATATATAAGCATGTAGAAAACACTGAGCTGGCAAAGCTGGTGAAACTGTAAGGTATTTAACTCCTATGATTATTTATTATATTATTCAACAGCAGATACTTTGCAGAGTGTAATTAAATCTATCGTTGTGCTATTGAACCTGTAGAGTCAAGGGAAACTTCATTTGTTCTCATGGACTTAATCATTGTCACTTACATGAACTTTTGTCAGAAGCTGAATATCTTGACTTGCCCTACATCACAGCAGTTTGATGGCATAGCAGTGATAACAATGTTTTATTGTGATCTCAGAATCCAAATTAAACTATTTCTGAATGATTAGAGCCACCTTCAGCCACTAAGAGTAGATTTGGAAGCTAGCTTTACTGCTGACTTGGTAACAGTTTAATGAATTCAACCTAGGATCACAAGGCAAAATAATGCATACATGCAAAACCTAGACTATATAAAGTCATTTAGAAAACAGCTAACACTGTAATGATGAAAAATAATTTTTTAAAAAGTGCTATGAAAAATTAAAACAGGAAGCAAGATCTTAGTTCCCATACAAATTTATGACAGATGCATGATCTTAGCTCAAACTGCAGTTCCAGTGTCATTTTCTAGACCTCAGTGCAAGTGCAAAGATTTCCATATTTCTAAGCCATTAAACTGTATGATTGAGGAACTTCCACTAATATTCAATTGGAAGTGATTAATTTGCCATGTAATGACATACTAAAAGGCAAATATCAAGAGAAAAATCTAATACAATTTTATAAATGCCTTCCAAACAATGAATATGCTCAATGAAAATTATGTACCCATGAATTGATGTCAGTATTTGGTAGTACCTATCTGTGTGAAAAGATGGTTTTCAAAAATCAAATGTATAAAATCTCATTACAGATTATCATTAAGGGATTAACAGTTATAATCAATTTTGATGATAGAGAACATAACTCTGATCTTCAATTAAGTGGATGATTATCCCCCTTCTCCCAAATTCCATTCAGTTCGTTGGTTGACTTATTTTACAAAAAATTGAATCCAAATATTATTATTTGTCAATTAAAGGTTTGTGGGATTTTTTTTATCTTTTCCTTTAAAAGTATAGACTCAATTGTGCCTTTTTGCCTATAAAGCCTAAAATATTTATTAGCTAATCCTTTACAGAAAAAATTTGCTTATTTCTATATTAAGAGAGTGGATATTTGGCTTTATCCTGTCTAACCTCTTTAAAGATGTCAACAGATACCTCCTGCTTCCTACAGCCCCATTAGCAATAAATCTGCTGGCACACGAAAGACTACAACATATATTTTTTTTTTATTTTGATTGTAAAATTATTTTTGCATGTTGGCGTTTTTTGACGTTTATATAGATAAAATACTTTGAATTGGGTATTCAGGTATTTATTGCCTAGAATATCAATGAAGAAGTAATAATATTGTTTAAGAATTTAAATAATAAGAAGAATTACTTAACTTCCATTGGATAAAATGTTTAGTCGAGTTGCAACTCTTTTTTTCATATGGAATTGTATTCCAATTTGCACTAGTTAAATGTGAGAAATCTTTAAAGAGTTCAAGGAAATGCATATTATGAGAGCAACTATGCTTGGGTTTCAAAATTGCTTTGCACCAAAATTAACTTTTAGTTCCAGTTTTATACAAACTTTGAAGTACTCTCATATTGTTAAATCTGAGGAAGATCTTGGAAAGGGATTTTAATTATTTCAAAATTAAACATATGAACACTTCACTGCTTACTTAGGTTAGCATAAATTGGTTCCCGAGAGTCAGTTCAAAGAATATGATTTATGAATTGTCAGTGTCTGCTTCGTAAATTTAATAGGTTTTCCAGTCCTCTAGAAATACAAGGATACTCAAAAAGTTGCTAGAAAAATGCAATTAAATGATGAGTTTATTTTGGTGTTAAAATTTTTTGAAATCCATGCATTGTTCTTTGTGATACCTATTTCTGTGAACTTTTTGAAGACCTCTTGTATTGATTTTCAGAAGAACTTCTTTATTAGTGCTTAATATTTTAGAGTTGACTAATTTAATAAAACATGTATTTCTTTCCTTATATTAATTGAAAATAGATATTTGTAAAAAATCAGAGTGGGAAGGAAGAAGAAGGAGAAGGAGGGTAGGTGTGGGTAGGGTGGGAAGAATCACTATGTTTCTAAATTTGTATTTATGAAATGCGTAAAGTTTGTATACCTTAAATAAAATGTTTCTAGGTTAAAAAAAAAGCAGAACATTTTTATTACCAATATATAAAGGGTTTGATATGAACTTTGTGAAAGAATGTTGGTGAGGTGTTGAAAGGAAAGAGAAAATAATACAAAGGAATTTTTCCAAAACATTTTAAAAGATACATATTTTTAAATTTAGAAATTTAAAAATGCTATATAAAGTTCATTTTTATGCTATATAAAGTTCATTTTTTTTTCTGAATGGCTTGTCATACAAAAACAGCAGAAATACGAATCATGTATGGGTAAGATTGAGATAAATTTTGTCTGTACACATCACTTAACATTTAGAGAAATCTTCAAATGAGCACGTTTTCTTGCATTTGCTTATTGTATATCCTTTGTCATGATTTTTATCATATATTTAAATTTATTAATATCTGATTTAGCTTTGATTTAAATCTTATTTTCTAGATGAAGCATTGGATGATTTAAAATCCCAGAAGAAAAAAATAGTAAGTTAATGTTTAAAGTTAATTTATATAAAGTAAGTTCAGAACTGAATAATTAATGTTTATATGTTATAATTTGCTGATTCTCCAAGGAACAGGTGTGCTTTTAGGTAGCATTTTAATGGTGAAGTTAAGTTTTGAATACTTTATCTACTTAATGATTGACAGAAAAGAGTAGTTTAGATGGACTTTTGAGATTCTGAGAATTTGTGTCATGTGGAAGATGATGAACCATATTGGAGGACTGAATGAGGCAAAGAGAAAGTAAAAAGGTAGGTGCCTAAATTATTTAGTAGAGCCATAAAAGGACCAAACCTCTACATAGGTTCTACATAGTTCTCATATTTTCTTGACAATGTAAAGGCCAAGAGAAGAAATCAAGAAGATTGATTGTAAGAGTCAGACACAACATGAAAAGACTGAAGAAGGGAGAAGAGCAAAACAGCATTTTCCCCCCTTGGTCTCTGCTCACTCCCCTTTTGTTTTTCAAGAACAGATTTCATTAATAACACAATCAACAGAGCCAACACTGTGGGGCACTGGATTAAGCCAGTGCTTGTGATGCTTAAATCACATATCAGAGTGCCAGTTCGACTTCTGGCTGCTCTGCTTCTGATGCAGCTTTCTGCTAATATGCCTGAGAAGGTTGCAGATGATGGCTTAAGTACTTGGGCCCCACTGCCCAGGTGGGGAGACCTGGATAAGTTGTGGTTACCAGCTTCATTTTGGCCCAATCCTGGTTGTTGTGCCCATTTGGGGAGTAAACCAGTGGGTGGAGGATCTCTTTCTCTGTCCTTGTCTCTATCCCTGTCTCTCTCCCTCTCTTTCTCTCTGTCACTTTGCCTTTCAAATAACTAAATCTTAAAAAGCAAGCAAAAACCGTGATTAATAAAAGATTACACTCTTTTAAAAGTATCCCAGAAGGGGTGGGCATTTGGTGTGGCAGTTGAACTGTTGCATGTGATACCTGCATTTGAGAATCTGGATGTGAGTACTGGCTTTGCTTTCCATTCCAGTCTTGCTGATGCGCCTCCTAGGAGGCAGCAGATGATGGCTGAAGTACTTGGTTCCTAGCCACCCACGTGGTAGACCTGGATTGAGTTCTAGGCTCCTGGTGTCAGCTTGGCCAAACCCTGGCTATTGGGGGCATTTGGGGGCTGAGCTGGCAGATGAAAGTTTTTTTTTAAATTTATTTATTTGAATGGCAGAGTTATAGAGAGGCAGAGGCAGAGAGAGAGAACGAGAGCTCTTCCATCCACTGGTTTACTCTTCATATGGCTGCAACCGCCCAATCCGGTCTGATCCGAAGCCAGGAGCCAGGAACTTCTTCCAGGTCTCCCATGCAGGTGCTGGAGCCCAAGGGCTTGGGCCATCTTCTGTTGCTTTCCTAGGCCAAAGCAGAGAGCTGGATTGTAAGTGGAGCAGCTGGGTCTTGAGCTGGCACCCGTATGGGATGCCGGTGATACAGGTTGGCCTTTAACCCACTGCACCACAGTGCTAGCCCCGTGAATATCTATTACGGAGCCAGTTAAAAGCATCCCTTGGATGTGTGGGAAAAGGGCCAAGTACAATTAGAGAGGCGGGGCCCTGGGTATTCAGAGGTTGATATATGAGGGTACTTCAAAAGGTTTGTGGAAAAATGGAATTAAAAGATATTTGTTTTAGTGCATAAAATTTTAAAATCTAGGCAGATGTTTGGTGCAGTGGTTAAGCTGCTACTTGAGTAGCTTGTATCCCATATGGCAGTGCCTGGATTGAGTCCCAGCTGCTTTACTTCTCATCTGGTTTCCTGCTGATGCGCACACTGGAAGGCAGCAGGTGAAGTACTTGGGTCCCTGACACCCATGTGGAGACCTAGATGGAGTGCCAGATTCCTGGCTTTTACTCTGCCCCATCTTTGGCTGTTGTAGGCTTTTGGGGAGTGAACCAGTGGATGAAAAATCTCCAGCTGTCTGTCTCAGTCTCTTTCTGCTTTGCAAATAATTGATAACAAATTTTTAAAAATCTGAAATCTATATGTAATTTTTTCAAAATGGGTACTTTTCATGAACTTTAAAAAAATTATTTGAAAGCATCAGAGAGAGGGCTAAATAGAGATCTTTTATCTGCTGGTTTATTCTCCAAATGGCCACAACAGTCAAGTGTGAACCAGGCTGAATCCAGGAGCCATGAATTCCATCTGAGTCTCTCACATGAGTGTCAGGGGCCCAAACACTTGATCTTCCCAGGCACATTAGCAGAAAGCTGGATTGCAAATGGAGTAGCTGGATCTCAAACTGGCACTCTGATAGGACATGCCAGTGTTGCAAGTGGTGGCTTAACCTCTGTGTCAAAATGGTGACTTCCTTTCCCTGAACTTTTTGAAGATTCATGTTACAGTGGTCTCTAATGAGAATTGAACTTGATGTATGACTTGGATTTACATACACAGGTGCCTCAAAAAGTTCTTAGAAAAATGGAATTAACAGATAAATTTGGTACAAAAACTTTGAATTTCATGTATAAATTTTTATAATATACATTTTCCATGAACTTTTTGAAGATCTCATTTTTTTTAATATGATAATTTTAGAAGTGTGAAAATGATCATTGCTGGGGTTGGTGTTGTGGCCCAGCAGGTTAAGCCACTGCTTGAGATGCCAGCATCGCATATCAGCACTGGTTAGAGTCTCAGCTGCTCCACTTCCAAAAGATGCTAAAAAGAAGGCCCAAATGCTTGGTCCATTGCCACCCATGTGGGAGACCTGGATAGAGATCCAGACTTGTGACTTTGGCCTGGTCTGAAAGAAAGACAGATCCTTCTTTCTGTCTCTCCCTCCCTCTGGAACACTGCCCTTCAAATAAATAAGTAAATCTCTTAAAATATGTGTATATTTTATATATATAATATATAATTGTTTATAGTATCATCATGCTACATGGAAATTTACTCTGGAATTTAATCAAGTCAAATTGATCAGTTCAATGTATTTTAGTCTAGAATATAATGAGCAATAATTATGTATGAAATTAATAGAAATTATGAAGGTTAAGATAAATGTTAAAAATTGTTCTGTGAATCAGTAATAAAAGACAATAGTTTTGAGGATGTAAAGTACTTGAAAAGTAAGTATACTTTAATTCTAAAAATTTTCCATATCTGTTTGTTACTTCTTCAGTGTTTTATGAGGTATTTTTCAAAATAGCATGGCTATTTTGATTGTCCTCAGTTGAAACAGAATATGCTCATTATATTTTGTATGTTTTGCCACTCTCTATGTTTTGTAAGTTCAGAAATTGAAAGCCAGGAGATACTGATAGTTTGAGTATTATAGAAGTTTGAGTATTATAGAAGTATTATAGAAGCATCACATGACTAGAAAACAGAATCTTTTAAAAAATTATTGAATTGTACATTTTATTTTTAAAAATTTTATTTTTATTTATCTGAAAGACAGAGGCATAGAAACAGATTGAGAGAGATCTTCTGTCTTTGTTCATACCTGCAATAGCCAGGGCTGGACCAGGCCAAAGCCAGGAGCCTGGAATTCAGTTCCATTTCCCATGTTGGTGACAGGGACCAAAGTTCTTGAGCCATCACCTGCTTCTCCCCAGGGTGCTCATTAGCAAGAAGCTGAAATGTGAAGTGGAGCTGGGACTCAAACCCCCACACACCAATATTGGATTTGGGTGGCCCACGCAGCATCTTAGCAGCTGAGGCAAATGCCCACCCCAGAAAACAGAATCTTGAAGAGCATGTGATTGGAATAAATCTTCATGGAGTAACAACAGATTTGGAAAATTCTGTCACAGGGCAAGCCAGACTATTTTCTACTTCTTTAATACTCCTTGAAAGAATCCCAACATAAAAGATGCTTCACAAAGTATGATAAGTTGAAAAATTTAGTTCAGCGTTCAATAGCTCTATCTAAACGGTTCATGAGGCATCAGTATTACAGAATAGTTCAGTATGGCATTTCTTTTGCGGTGTCACTAAAGAAAAATGAATTGGTTGTATCTCACATTGTTAATTGAAAAATAGCACTTTGTATTGGCTTGGTTGTAGTTGGTTATACTGTTGTTTCTGGGAGCTAGTTTCTAATGTTTATGGTTCAAGCCTTGAGTAGCTTTACACTTTGGAGCACAGTGCTATTAGTGAGATGCAAAGAATGACACATTTTTAAGGAAAAAATGAGTAAACATAAAACATTTTGTTGGTATTTAAGTTTAAACACTGCTTTATAGTTTAAAAAATGCTCTTATTGTTGAAATGCTTACAGAAAAAGTAACTTTATAAATAAAAAATAATCCAAGTTCCAACCCTTCTCTTTCATTAGCAAAATTTTATGTTATATTTACTACTTATTATTTTATAAAGACAGTTTCCTTAGGGATGCATCCTTAATCTAAGTAGATTTGTGTTGTGATTAGAAATTTATAATAGTGTAATTTGTTGTGATAAATATGACTTATCTATTGATTAAGAAGTTAATGGTAGCATTTTAACAGTGTTTTAAATTTTAAGAGCTTGATATAAGTATCTAATTTATTAAAATAAAGGTAGGTATTATTCTTTAGTTCTCTAAAAAATTCCCTTCTTCATGTATACATTTTGCTATTTTTTTGTGTTTTAAAAAATAAATCTTAAAAAGTAGTTTTTTAATCATAGAAAAATTTGTGCAATAGTTATTCCCTCTGCATCTGTCAGCATTCCTTCAAAACAGTTCAAAATCGAGGTCCCTCAAAACACACGAGTCAAGATTACTTATTTTAGTGTCTTCATGAAAATACTTTTCCAGAGTAGTTGTTTTTCTTTTTTTTAAGATTATTTTATTTGAAAGGCAGAGTTACAGAGAGGGAGAGAAAGAAGCAGAGAGAAAGAGAGGTCTTCCATCCTTCTGTTCACTCTGGAGATGGCCACAATGGCTGGAGATGTGCCAATCCAAAGCCAGGAGCCAGGAGCCAGGAGCCAGGAGCTTCTTCTGGGTCTCTCATTCAGTTGTGGGGGCTCAAGGACTTGGGCCATTTTCTACTGCTTTCCCAGGCCACAGCAGAGAGCTGGATCAGAAATGGAGTAGCTCAGACTTGAACCAGTGCCAATATAGGATGCCAACACTGCAGGCTGCAACTTTACCCACTACGCCTCAGCGCTGCCCCCAGAATAGTGTTTCTATGTGATAATTTCTTTTTGGCATTTCTTTAGGAAATTTATGTTCTTCTGAATTCAGAGAAAAATCATTTAAGAAATTGGAAACATGTAGGAAAATAGAGTTCTTTGAGAGTTAAAGCTTAACAATCAACTAATGATAATATTGGTTCAAAGGGATCCACTAATGTCAATTGAAAGCACAGCAAGAAATACTGACATGCTGAGCTGCAGTTTAATGTTGCAGGTTAATTTCTAAGAACAGGACAGAAAAGAAACAAAACAGGACAAGAACATGTAGAGAAGTACCACAAGCTAATCAGTTTGGTGGTTTTTGTGGCCACTTTGTAAGGGTGCTTTTATGGCCTTGGATCTTATTAATTGTGAGTAGTATTTGCAAATAAATATTAATAAATGCATGTACAATGCATAATGTACTTTAAAAAATTCCTATGAATGATATTCCATGAAATAGGTTTTGGAAGCCAAAGAAATATACAAATTGGCATTTTCAGCATGTGATTCTCTGTAATGCTGTTTACGTCCCTAGAAGTTTCAAGTGTTATATTTTTATATTACCCAATAATATTTGCTGGTATTTTCTCATGTTTGAATATTAATGATATGCTACAGAATATAGGAAAAGATATGACTATTGTGAATTACTTCTATAGGAAATCCAAAAATGATATAAAATCTTAATTAGTAAAAGCATTATCAATTTCAACAGCAAAATCAAAATCATAGTAAGCAAACAATATTTTCATCATTATTAAAGGATGAGTTTGTGTAATGTTCCATGTTCCATAATCCTTTGTATTGAAGACATTTTTGGTTGCACTCCTGATTTGACCAAAATCAGTGCAAAATGAAAGAAGCTTTCTTTATCTGGAATATTTGTCATAAACTAAAGATTAATATTAGATAGGGAAATTAATGCTTTTAAAAATGTTCTGAAATTTTAATATTAAATATACATAGAATTATCTTTCAATATTTAAAAGATTTTCTTGACATTAATTTTGTTAGGATTCCGTTTTAATATTTTCTGTGATGAAATGGCTCTATCATTTAGAAATAATTTTTATGCCGTTGAAGTATATAATCTTATTGCAATAATCTTGATTAACAGTAATCAACCACATATTCTATCTTTTAAAATAAAAAAGCCCCTGAAACTTTTAGTATAATCATTTCACAAAAATGATTCACTGTCATGTTACCATTTAAAATATTATATTTTGAAAAATACTACTGAATATTCAATGCTTATGACTTAGGAAATTCCCAAGAATTCCATTTTCCCTTTCTTGAGGTTAATATGTTGGGTATTTAGAAAAACTGCTTGTTTTAGACTCATTCTGAATAGTTGAAGTGTCACTGACATTTATGTTTGTGTTAGTTCTGCTGTGGACTCTTTCCTCCTACATTATTTAAATTGCACAGCACTGCTTTGAAGAAAGTATTAATGTGTTTATCTTAACAGGAGGAGAAACTGAGGCATAGACTTGTGTGTGGTCTTTTTAAGAATGGAAATGTACTTTGAACTCAGATTTTTTTCTGACTTTGAAGTTTCAAATTTATTTTCTTTCCACTGTTCATATCGTTTATCTAAAATATTCACTTGAAATGTATGGATAAGTGTGTTAATTTCAGCTATCATGAGAAATTTTTCTTAGTAGTAATGCAAAAGAAAAGGAGATTAGATTTGTATCCTTTAGTGCTTTTAAAAAGGATTTTTAAATGATTTTAGTCCTAACTGAATCATCTAGAAAGAATTGCAATCATATGATTTAGTATTATTCTGGTTTTGCATGTGGGTATTGTTTTAAAGCTCACAGTTGTATCTAATCTGTCTTTTAAACCTGAAATGCTCTTAGTCTAGAGCTGTGTTGTCCAAATCAGTAGCCACTAACCCTATGTGATTATTTAAATTTACATTATTTAAAATGAAATGAAATTACAAATTCAGTTCCTCAGTCACTCAAGCAACATTTTAAGTTGTTCATATTGGCTCAGTGGCTTACTATTATGTCTGTACAGACCATTTCCATCATAACATAATGTTTTGTTGCACAATATTAGTCTAAAATCAAATGTCTAATTTAAGATATCAGGGATTTGGTTCTTTGATGTTCCATGAAAGAGTATGTTGATTTGGATATAATTCTAAGACACTCTCCCTTTATGCCCATTTCTATTTTTTTCTCAATTCTAAAGTGTTGCAATATTTTTTTCACATCAGAAAATTCAACTTGTTTATTCTGAGAATTTATGATAATATTGAAATAATTGAAAAATATTTTAGTTCACAAACCAAGGTTAGTAGATGATTCATTTAAACATTTATAACTTCTTAAATATTGAATTGAGTTTTTAATGAAGAATCTGGTAACTGCTTTTGTGGCAGCATATTTTTAATTACATTTTTAACACAGTAAATGTGCTCTGGGTTGCCTTTTAAAGTAAATGCCCTGTAGAATGAATATGATATTTAATGAATCTAATTGACTACCAGAGGTCACTGAGAAGGAAAAGGTCCTGTTCCAGTTTTTCAAGAGGATTTTATCTTAGATGTTATATATTTTTCGTAACTATGTCTGTTTGTACTGAAGTTCAGCTTCTTTTGATGTTGCACCATAACTACTAATATGAAGCTTTACTAGTGATTACTTTTTAAATTAAACCCCTGTATTAAGTTGTAAAGTGACTTGATTATATTTTAAGTACAATGCTATAATAATGAAGTGTTTTAATTATAGTCCCTAGTGTAAGGCTATAACTCAGTAAAATTTTTACTTAAATTCTGTGTTTAGTTTATTTCTCTAAAGTTGTTTGAGTATAAGTAAAAACTTGGGGGGGGGGCTAGTTTTTATAGTTATTTGAGAAAATTCCGTGGCTGCTCTCCCAGCTAGTGAGTTTTCCCCACATTTGCAGCAAGCTAATTGCTTCTGTTAATAAATAATCTAAAATCGATGCTGACAGCAGTTAATTGGCACAGAGATTTTATTTTGTAAAGCTCTTGGCTAACGACCTTCTTTAAATTAATAGCATTAAGTGCTATGAGGAAATAAATCTGAGGAATTGCCTGTCATTTGCTTGTCATGTCTAATAACTTCCAATAATGATGGCTGATAGATTTTTGCACATTCCATTATTGAAGTTGGTGCATGTAATTATTCTCCTCATTATATGTAAACAATTAGCAATATTTGGTATTTTCTTGCTGTAAAGCTGTTAAATACAAGTAACATATTAGAGGTTAGTAGCCATTTTAGAATCTGTATTTTAATTATTTACATGTAGGAAGTCTTTAATTATATCTAGATAATTTATATGCTGTTTATTTTAAGCCTTGTACTTGAATATTTTTTGAGTGGGACTTATAAAAATAAGTAGAGTATGTTTTAAAATGTGATAATTTATGGAAAAATTTGTTTGTAGCTTGAAGAAGTCATGGAAAAAGAAACTTATAAGACGGCTAAATTAATTCTTGAAAGGTTTGATCCAGACTCAAAGAAAGCAAAGGTAAGACTCCAGTATCACTACTATAATAAAATTGCATGTTGGAATAGGTCACTATAATAACACTATTATAATTGACAGGAATTTGAGCCGCCATCTGCTGGAGCATCTGTAACTGCAAGACCTGGACAAGGTAAATAACTTTGTAGAAACTGCTGCTCCTGTTGGAAAGATCCATATTTACCCAAGTGAGTTCTAAAGTGTGTTGGTGGTGTGTAAAAACATAGATAGAATGCTGCTATGTTAATTTATATTTGGCAGTTTGGGCTATTACTTGGGGTAGATGCCAATAATTTTATTTTGTGGGAATATATGTTAGGATGTCAAGTACTTGTTGAGATTAAATATATGATTGTTTTTAATGTTTTTGAAATTGAAGTAATTTCACCAATATTTTGTGAGATTTTCCCCCTTCAAATGATAATTTTTTTGGAATATCTATTATGATTAACATCCTTATATTTTTGATTTATTTTTATGTATGTAGTGATAATTTCTATCAAATTTGAAGTTTCTTCTAAATATTTTATTTAGGAAGAAAAATAGTTTAGAAATGAGAAAAATTGAATTACTGCTATATAATAATGTTTTCTGTTCTTTAGTTTGCATTGCTATATTATTAGTGAAACCATGTATTATATCATTAACTATTATGTAAAATTTTAAGCATCATTATTTTAAGTGGTTATATGAAAGTGTCCCAAGACTGGCATATAAAAATATATTTGAGTTTGCATTGGCTTTCATCTTTGTTCTTTTCTCTAGACTCCTACAGTATGTAAGGCTTTTATTGCATTATAGAATATATTACTTTTAAAATTTTAACTACCATTCTTACAAGCTCATCAGAACTGTGGCCTGCTTTGTAAAGTTAGAATTACATTTGGAACTTGGAAAAGCAAATCCTTTTATAAATATTCACAAAGCCATGGATACTAAATAAGCTGCAGTAGTTTTAGATGTTCTGTCAGACAGGGTTTTGTGGGAAGAATCCCCTTCTCCACCTTTCTATAAGTAGGGCTTTGGCTTAGAGAAATTTCAGCTTTTTTTTTAACCTACTCATTTCATAAAAATAAAAGTTTATATGATTAAAATAGGCATATGGGAGTACTTTTTTCATGAAAAATGGAATTAAAAGATAAATTTATTTTGATGTAAGTACATATGAAGAATCTTCAAGAAGTAGATTAAAAATGCATATTTACAAAAAAAGGTTTATGTAGGTATTTGAAAGGCAGAGCTACAGAGAGAGGGAGAGATAGAGAAAGAGAGAGTGAGCTCACAGATTAGATTTTCTGTCTGCTGGTTCACTCCCTAAATGGCTGCAACCTGGGCTGGGCCAGGCTGAAGCCAGGAGCTTGTAACTCCATCCAGGTCTTCCACCTGGGTGGCAGGAGCTCTAGTACTTGAGCCATCATCCTCTGCTTTGTAGGCACATTAGCAGACAGCTGGATCAGAAGCAGAGTAGCAAGCGCTCAAATGAGCACTCTCATATGGGATGTTGTCACCCCAGACAGAGGCCTTACAACCTGCCGCACCACAGCATCTGTCTCTAATTATGATATCCTTATTTTACTAGTTCTCTTGCTGAGCCAGAACTGTTAATTGTGTGAAGGCAGCTTTTATTTTTTTGTTACTGGGTTGCTAATAATATCTGCTATACTCGGAGTAATTATAAATTTTGAAGATAATATTGATTTGCTTAGATTTTCACTAAGGGGAGTATCATGTTTACTGGGCAGTTAACCTATCTAACCAACAACCTTTTAATAGACTTCATTTTTTAGAACAGTTTTAGAGTTTATAGAAAAATTATAGAGCTCTAGTACAAGGAGTTTTTAGATAGTCTTATTCAAAGATTCCCCTATTAACATCTTAACAACAGTGTAGTACATTTGTTGAAGTTTGATATACTATTGTTAACCAAAGTTTGGATTTTCTTTGTTTCTACTTAATGTCCTTTTTATTGTTCCAGGATCCCATCACTATTACTACATTGCATTTAACTGTTGTGCCTTCTTGGGTGGCTTCTTAGGCTGTAACAGCTTCTCAGAGTTTTTTCTTTGTATTTGATGATCTTGATAGTTTTGCCCTAATCATTTCTTAAAATAACTTTTTTTTTGTTCAGGTGATAATTTGTTAAGCATTCACACCAACATGCATCTTATATCAGATGCTGCAAATACTGTAGTAGTCAAGAGTCCCATGATAAGATTCTCAACTTCTGGGCCCCTATCCTCTTCCCCTCCCCACTGACACCCTTTTAGTTCTCAACACTGTCTCTCTGTGCTGAACACTCATTAAGTAACTTCAAATTCTCCAGCACACAGAACCCGGAACTCGGGTACCATTTGCACCACCCAATAATCCAAGGTTCCCAAATGGCTGGGAGCCCAAGATACTATAACCCTCATCATTACTGGGGCAAAAGACTGGAGAACTGGTTGTTGATTACACTCGGAGGATTCTGGGAGTTGGAGTTCCTGTGACCTGACAGGGTTATATCTGAGATTTTGGGATGCTAGTACCTTTTGTCACTCCCTCAGAGCTAGGAGCATGGGCACTCTTTTCCTTCCTCCTGTCAGAACCAGAAGTTAAACTCTCAGCTGCTTCCACCCTCAGATTCATGAGTGGAAGATCTCAACCCTGCCCCCTTTCTGTGATGTCAGGAGTCCAGACTCTTAGTTCCCTTTTCTCTCAGACCTGGGAGTCTGAGCCTCTACCTTCTCCTCCCTCAGATGCAAGAGTATGAGTTTGTTATTTAGTCTTCCATACACCAACACTCACCATGGTTACCATCATGATCACTAACTGATAATTTCTTTCTTTTTTTTCTTTTTTTCTTTTTTGACAGGCAGAGTGGACAGTGAGAGAGAGAGACAGAGAGAAAGGTCTTCCTTTGCCGTTGGGTCACCCTCCAATGGCTGCCGCGGCTGGCGTGCTGCGGCTGGTGCACCGCGCTGATCCGATGGCAGGAGCCAGGTACTTATCCTGGTCTCCCATGGGATGCAGGGCCCAAGCACTTGGGCCATCCTTCACTGCACTCCCGGGCCACAGCAGAGAACTGGCCTGGAAGAGGGGCAACCGGGACAGAATCCGGCGCCCTGACCGGGACTAGAACCTGATGTGCCGGCGCCGCAAGGCAGAGGATTAGCCTAGTGAGCCGCGGCGCCAGCTACTAACTGATAATTTCTTACAAGGAATTTTTATCAATGGATGCTTCGTCTTAGAAAATCATTGTCATTTTTTGCTATAAAAGAGTAAGCATAAAAAGTAGATATACACATTGAATAGTGGTGTTATAGTTCTTTAGAAATCATGGATAACTGCTAAATAGAAAGACTTTATATCCTTATTAGATTAAAAAATAATAAAGTTGGAAATCAGATGAAAATGGAATTTGCCCTAGTATAAATTCCTGAATAGGACAAATTCATTCTGTAGGATAAAGAAATCTATATTTGAGGATGACAAAAAATTACACTTCTTTTTTTTTCTTTTTTAAAGATTTTGTTTATTTATTTGAAAGGAAGAATTACAGAGAGAGATATCTTCCATCAGCTGGTTCACTCCCCAGATTGCTGCATTGGCCAGGGGGCTAGGCCAAAGCCAGGAGTCAAGAGCTTCATACATGTCTCCCACGTGGGTGCAGGGACTCACGCACTTGGGCCATCTTTTGCTGTTTTCCCTGGTGCATTAGCAGGGAGCTGGATTGGAAGTGGAGCAGCTGGGTCTCGAACTGGCACCCGAATGGGATGCTGGCACTACAGGTTGGGCTACTTCCCATTGGGCTACAGTGCTGGCCCCAGATTAAATTTCTTTTCAAGATTTTTTTATATAGAAGTAAGTTTGATTTTTATGCACTATATTCTGATTTATTGATTTTGTCAGTGAATGTTTATGAGTGTCTGCTGTCTATTACAGGCCCTGGGGACATAGCCGTGTACAAAATAGACAAAAAAAAATTGTTGTTTTTTTCTTGAACCTTCTCTCACCACCAATAAAACCCAGAACACTTGTTAATTTTAGGTGAACTGAGATTTTTTGCCCACTTTTGAAGGGGCATTGTCTAATAACACACATTTGGTTGTTGGCATTGGTGGAGATGGTAATCAAGTGAGAGGTTTGTAAAGGAAAGGTAATACTCAGACATCAAGCCTAGGTTCTTGGTTAGCCTCTGACATACCAGATTGACCCTCTTCTAATCTGGAGATTGTCCTTCTCTACTTGAAAAATCTGGATTTATTTTTTAAAAATATTTATTTCAGTTATATAAGTGAAAGGCAGAGTGACAGAGTAGATTTCATTTAATTATAGGGCTGGTCTTCCTTTTTAGGATCTATTTGTGATTTCCTCTGAGTTTTTATCATTACTGGAGAAAGGAAGGGATGGTAATGAGAGTGAAAGAACAGTGAAGAACACTGCAAGCCAGGTTCTCTTCCCTTGTGAAAATCCCTTCACATGTGGGAAATGGTATATGCTACTATGACAAAGTGTTGTTCAAGAATTGCCACCGAGGGCTCCCTGTATGTTCAACTCCTGCAGTCTTTTACATGGTGCACAACAGGGACATCAATGGGCAGACATGGGTGTCTGAGAAATATCCTCTGCTGGGCGGTTAACAGACCAAAAGGAACCACATCAAATCTGGAAAGTCATGCAAGTGTACCTTTTTCTTTCTCTAGTTCTTTGCTCAATTCAGTGACTCACAGAGAATAAAGTATGGAAAGGTGGAAACAGTAACTTTTAAAAAATAATCACTAGAAAAATAGTGGAGAGATCTGACAGACAATACCTAAAGGAGTGATCTAAGTTAACTTTGCCAGTGATAAGTCATCTTTGTACCATGTATCTCCTGATAAATGCATTAAGAGGGCCATTACTGGGGAATTCTTACACAAAACCTGTAACCCCAGTCTTACCATGAGAAAAACATTAGACAGTTTCTAAATGAAGGACATACAATAAAATACCTGAACAGTGTCTTCAAAGCTATTGAGGATATGAAAAGTAAAGAAACAGTGAGTAACTAATACAGACCAGAGGAACCTACGGAGACATGATGACCAAATGTAATGTGGCATCCTGGAACAGAAAAGTGATGTACATGGAAAAATTGGTGAAATCTGAATA